CGAATTATTATTGAAATATCAGTTGCTCGAAGGGTTTAGGGGATCTCGTAGTCGAACAGTCTCGACTAGAGCTTTCTTACTTGTTATACATATATGTATGCACGTATACTCTAATGGTTTACAACTAGGAACATAATTAAGATTTTCGAGTTATTGTTGAATTTCTTGATTAATGTATCATAGATCGCAATTCATATATCCTTCCTGACAAATAAGATTTTGTAGCGTGAATGAGCATTATGCAGTCGGGTGCTACCAAGGTCAACTTTTCAGAGTGCCACAGAGCCTTGCCAATGTTGATTGAGGAAACCCACCCCAAAGTAAATGTCTGGAGCTGTTCATAGAACAAGTTTCACTTTAACATCTTAATATGCCTTCTTGTTATATTTAAGCTACGTCACAAGGGTTGACGAGAACGCTTTGCAAGGGACAGCGCTGACGTTCATGGACCCATATGTGCCCAGAGTGTATGACGACGACACTGGAAAGAACGGCGTATTTTCGCTGACGTTGCTAAACAATAATGGAACGTTTGAGATCACACCAAATGTCGCAGAGCGGAGCGCTTCGTTCCTTATTCGTGTACGAGACAATTCGTGGCTGGACTTCGAGCAAAGGCAATCGGTTCAGTTTAAGATTCTGGCCCAGGAATTGGGGCCAGCCACAAATCTGTCGGCCATGGTTAACGTCACGGTATACATAAACGACGTAAACGATAACACGCCTGTCTTCGATCAACCGGGCTATACGGTAGAGCTGCCGGAGAACATGACGGTAGGCACAAAAGTCGTGCAGGTGCACGCAAGCGACCTCGACACGGGATTGGGTGGAAAGGTGCGATATACAGCAATCCTCGGATACCTTAACACTTCTCTCAACCTGAATGCGGAAACCGGCTTGATAACTGTAGCGACCAACAGCCATGGATTCGATCGCGAACTAATGCCCGAGTATCACCTGTATGTGGAGGCTCGGGATATGGACGGTGCTGGAAATCGAGCCCAGGTTCCCCTCATCATCAAGCTCATTGATGTAAACGATGAAGTGCCCGTCTTCGATAAGGACTTGTACGAGTTCATACTCGCAACCGACCTAATGGGCTTTACAACCAGCGCCTTCATTCATGCCACTGACAAGGACGCAACAGCGCCGAACAATGAAGTGCGCTACGAGCTGATCAACGGCAACTATCAGAACAAATTTGTACTGGACAAGGTGACAGGCGAGCTAACGGTCCGGGAAAAGATAAATCTGCGTTCCAAAAAGTACGTCAGTCAGCGAAGGCGTCGAGATGTTGACGCGACGCCGCCAATCGGCAATGAAGACGATTTATTCATACTGACCGCTCGAGCCTACGATCTAGGAGTACCAGTGCGTTCATCGACCACCTCCATACGCATTTACCCACCAGAGAGTCGCAAGCGCATTGTGACGTTTGTGGTGCCTGGCAGCAAGCTGGACAAGCGCAAGACAGAGGAAACACTATCGGCGATAACGGGCGGAAAGGTTTACATCCATGAAATACGACCGCTAAGGCCCGAGGAGCCGGGAGCTAAAGACATACCCAATGACAATCCGAACATCAAGGAACGGAGTGTGGTCACGGCGACCGTGCTGTACGACAGCTCATCTGTGGTTGACATCTCGCAGATACAGCAGCGACTCTCGCAGCACAATAACTCGTACTCAATCATGCCGGAAGACACAACGCGGACCGACGTAAGTAATCCTGTCTATAATCCAAAT